TAAATATTGGCATCATGTTAGCTACCTTCCAGTTATTAAGTAGCCTAAGCCCAAAATATCCATATGGGAATTAAACAGCCCCTTAGGCAAGTCAGTTGACATAAGCCAACCACAGGTTTTAAATGCAGTACAGACATAACTGTAGTGTCTAAATTGTTTAGGATTGTTTAACCTAAGCTCTTTTCCAGGCTTTAGGTCCAATCCTCCCACCCAATACTCCAAAGAAAAACATGTAGCCCATTTCTGAAGATGTTTTTAACCCGGGTGGTTTATTGATACAGTGGTATGGATGAGAGTTTGGGTGCTGCTTTTGTATGGGCTGAATGTACCCTCTTTGCAGGGAGAATTCAGGGAAATACTGCTGACAGTCCTCTAATGCAATCAACAACTCCCTGGGAAAGAATCCTCAAGTGTCTCAATTCAGGGAACCATGGGATAGGTCTTCCTCCTTCATTAGATACACAAACAAATGCATAAAGAATAAGAACCGGGTAATGTGGCTATGGCTTTGTTGTGGAAATGCACATGCCCAGACTGAGCTAACCCTGGTATCAACCATCCAAATTAACTGAGCAGTGAAGACATAACTTATTTTTCTCATGCAGGGTTTCATCACTTTCTACTCATACAGAACAAGAGAAACTAAGAGCGAATCAGATGGATTATATGTGTTTTGTTTAAGCATTATGAACAGAACTACACATTACAATCAGGTACACCTGGGCAACCCCACTGAGTCACTGAGGTTCAACAGGTGTTAGCAAGGACATAGTTTCAAACTAATATCTTTGCACAGGTGTGTATAATTCATCCTGAAGAACCTTTATTACTAGAGATAATGCATAGGAACAAAAAAGCCCTGGCTAAGTTTTCTGGCCAGGCAGTTAGGAATAAAAAAATCTCTAATTATAAACCAAGGCTATTCAATATGGGAATCGTTGACAGTACATTTGCAAGCTCACAATGGCATTTTTAACTGTCATTTTCAGGAACAGCTGTACATCCAACTTAATCACTAGTCAATGTAAGTTAACAGTAACCCAAGCACCTGTATAGCTCTCAATTCAGCTTTTGAAATAAAATAAAATTTCACAGCTTCTCAAAATTTTTCTGAACAGCAACTGAGTGCCATGGCAGATCTCAATGAGAAAGACTGCATCTATTAGATATTCCATCACTAGAAGAGTTTTAGCAGCCAAAATCAAATGTGATAACCCTGTATCACTATCTGGCAACCAAGACAGAGTTACCAATTCCTTGTCTTAAGCAACAAAGGTTTAGAGCAGCCTGCTGTCTGCAAAGCATACAAGCATAGCAGATTGTTCTACAACTATGATGCTGAATGTTTAAAGATTTTAGTTTCAAGCTCTTTTTAAATTACTTTAAGTTGTTTTCCTTTCTTAATGCCAGCTGCAGATAGTGATGGCATTCATCTCATTTGTGCCTTCTGGTGGTTCCCAAAAAATGTACATAAAAGGGAGCTGGCATGTACTCTGGCAAGTTTATCTAGGAAGGTTGTTACCCAAGGGAGGAGAGAGAGGCTGAAAAAGAGGACTCAGCATCTTTCTCTTTCTTTTCATGCTTGGTTACTAAAGCTTGGGAAACAGTCTGCAGAAATGGATATAAGGGCTCTAGAGGAGAATTCCTTTGCTAGTACAGCTGTCTATCATATTTAAGAAGTTGATGCTATAAAAATATACTATATACTCTCCCTCTCTGAAGAGATATTTCATATTTTTTCCTGTTTTACGTCAATACTTTATTGGAAACCCAATTTTTCTCCATTATTTTTCTTCATTTGAATTCTAGAACATCTGCTTATAATGATCAGAAAATTATAAGAGCCCAATCCATTTACTCATATCTGAAGCCAAATTATAATTGCTCTTTACTTGGATCATATGATCTAATTCACTATCCATGGTGCAGAATCCTTAAAAAGCAGACTTCTTCCTAATTTTTAGGTTATGTTTCAGTTTAGGTCGGGCTGAAATCTTATTGAAATTTAGATAAATAAAACTCACCTTGTCCACCAATCACTCTCTGGCAAAGAATACAGTTACGATTTTACAGCATAATATGTTTATGAATCCATGTTAACTATCACTGATCACACTCCTTTTGCTTAAGATTATGAGCCACAAAGAAACTTATGGACCTTGACTCCAGACACGGGTACCCATGTTCTCATGAATAACACTGTGATTCATAAAACTCCTGCTTGGTTGCCATTAATCCTTTAGGTTCCTAAACTCAATCAGAGGCTAACTTTCCACTGTAAAAGTGATGACATGCTTAATTTTTAGTCCCTGGGGCTTGCACACTGCTGACTCTACTAGGTGTCTGAATGCCTATTTCTGTTTAAGCCCCAGAGCAATCCATGAATTGGGAGAACTTAAGCACTTGTGTTTGGGGCATGATTTGAAAGGTGTACTCAGAGGTCATGAAATGAATTGGGTCTCATTCAGAATCCAGATGGAGGGAAGAGGACATAGTGTGGTCCTCCTTGTCACTTTTAGCCTGGAGATTAGAGCACTGTCCTCAGACATGGGAGATCTAGGTTCACTTCCCCCCAAATTTCCAAAAGAATGCAAAACCCTCATGTGGATGCCTTAAACCAGTGGTGGGCAATCTTTGGCCAAAGAGCCTCGTGCAGCTGTGGTGGGACCAAGGGCAGTCAGCCCTTAGTGCCATTCAGGCTGAAATGCAGCCCCACCCCAAGCCTGCAGACCCATGTGAAGCAGTGGAGCAGCGCTCCGATGGCAAAGGGAATCAGGGCTCCAGCTGCCACCACTGCTGCAGTAATGGGGTCAGAGGCCAGGAGCTCTTGGTCCCTTTGAGGCTACATCTACACTACAGGTTTTTTGTGCAAAAATGGTAGTTTTTGTGCAAAAGCCTGCAGAGCGTCCACACTTCAAGCACATTTTGGCACAAGTATATTTACAGTAAAGCAAAAGAACAGAGGGTTTTTTTAGGTGTAGGTATTCCTCTTTCTACGAGGAATAACTCCTTTTTGTGCAAGAGTTCTTGCGCAAAAAGGTGTGTGTGGACGAGCAACAGGGCAGTTTTGCGCAAAACAAGCTAATCAAAAAAAGCACAGGTGCTCTGGTGGCTATTCTGATAGCAATAGCAATGGCAATGGCTTTCAGAGATTTCTTTCAAGAGAACATCCATGCAGTCTGGACACTCTTTTGAGCAAAAGCGCATGACTTTTCCAATGTGCTTTTTTAGTGTGGACGTGGTCTTGTGCAAGAATATCTCTTCTGCAAAAAGCTTCTTGCGCAAGAAGCCTGCAGTGTAAATGTAGCCTGAGTCTCTGGGACCCAGGGCAACTGCTTCCTTTTCTTGCTCCATCAGTGGGCCTCAGGAGGCCCACTCATGTGGCCCACTCACTAACCTATGATGACCATTGCTACCTAAACCACTGGCCTGTATAATCATTTACCCCCATGCCAATCCAAAGACAATTTAAGCATTTATCTACTGTAGCACCATCACTGGGTGAGAAAGAAAACACATAACTCTGTATCCCGGAAAATCTAGGCTATGGCCTCCCCTTGCTTTAATTTTACTTGAATTATAACTCCATAGCGGAAAAACTTCAACAGGAGAATGAGGAAGCCTCTCATCAGAATATCCCATAGCTCAGAGACTGATGCATGCTCATATGAGAGTTGGGATTTCAACAGGGGAACTTCTTTTTCTCCCTTGGGGGGGGATTAAGAATTAAATGTAGGTTGCCAACATCCCAGGTGAGTGATCTAACCAATGGACTAACGGGAAAAAGATAGGCAAGAGCACCATCTCCTCTTCCTCCCAGTTTCTACCCTGCCCCTTTTGGGTGGGAAGTAGGGTAGGCCCCTAACTCATTTTCACAAAAAAGAGTCTGGGCACCTACTCCAAGCAATAGGTTTCTGTTTGTGGATCACAACTCTCTGGAGCCTGGAAATAGTCACTTATTTATGACAGAGGTTTGGAACTAGCCCACCCCTTTTTGGTTGGCATGTCCTAATGGCTGGCTTATTGTACAAAGAGCTTAGGACCTTAATTCAGGCTATGTGCATTTTAGTGTTGTTCCTGTGATTTTCTTAACTCCGAAATGTTTGCTTTTAAGGGACAGCAGGGTTAAACTCTGAGGGTGAAGTGCCTGTTCTCTATCTGTGGTTACTACAAATTTCAACCTTAAGTTATGCATGTGAAAACTTTGACAAGCTATGATAGGGGCTGCATAAGGCAACTTTTGTTGGCCCTGCATGCCCTTGCAGTTACAGTATTCCCAGTGGCTACTTTTACCTCTTTATAAGCCTTTTATGCTGTAGAAGCAATGCCCAGGGGCATGGAGAGCAGAATCTGGCCTTGTGCCTGTCTTTGTACCCAGTACAGTCTACTGTTTATCCCAGTCCCATCCTTCTACATTTTTTATATGGGGATATCTGTTCTCAGTTCAATCCTTATGTCACTTGATCCAACCTGATTCCAACATTTCTCTTTGCAGTCTCCTATCCGTATGCTATTGTCTTCTCCTGCTCCATCATTCTTCTCCGTCTTCTTTTGCATCCCTTCAATTTCTCTTGCATTCTGCTTTTTCCTGCCTCTTCATTTTCTTTGGAAGCCCACATTCTCTTCCTAGCATCCATTCTTTCTCCGCCTTAATCTTAGTTTGAATTCTAGCATTTTGATTTCCTTAACCCCTTCCTTAACCTCTAGTCCCTATACATCTCTGTCCTACACCCTGATTGTACAGTACACCATTTTCCTGAAGGCATTCTCACTGGAAACAAAGAGAGATGGTGGGCACACTGACTCACGGCAGCCACACTTACTCATGTAAGGGCTGTAATGAAATGGAAGCCATCTTGACAAAGGTACCTTGGTTACTGCCCTTTTTAAAACAACAGGAGATTAGAAATAAGGAAAAATGTGCACATTTAATGCCAACAACTTTGACAATTAACTGAAAAGCCAAAGAAAAAGAAAAAAAATACAAAAATTGCACACACCAAATACTGAGAGACTCGTGATAAAATCAGGAGAGTTGGCAAGTCTGGTAGCAGCACCTGTAAAATTTAGTTAACATTTACATTTACAGGCATATTATAAATGTACAATATTTTTGTGTAATATAGACCAAGGACATGCACTGCTGAAGTCAGTGGTTCTCAACCAGGGGTACGCATACCCCTGGGGTTACAAAAAGATCTTCCAGGAGATACATCATATAGATATTTGCCTAGTTTTACAACAGGCTGCATCAAAAGCACTAACAAAGTCAAAACAAACTAAAATTTCATACAGACTATGATTTGTTTATACTGCTGTATATACTGTAAACTGAACTGTAAGTACAATATTTATATTCCAATTGATTTATTTTACAATTATGTGATAAAAATGAGAGAGTAAGCAATTTTTTCAGTAATAGTGTGCAGTGACACTTTTGTATTATTTCTGATTTTGTAAACAATAACTTTTAAGTGAAGCGAAAATTGGGATACCCAAGACAAATCAGACTCCTGAAGGGGTTACAGTTGTCTGGAACGGTTGAGAGCCACTGCACTAAGTGGTCAATATTCTTTAGTCATAGCTGCAGTAATATCATGCAAGTAATAATAGACTAACTGGTTCTGGACCACATGCTAATAAAGTGAAAATTCAACCATGATAATAAAAATTGCAGTGATAAAGAAATTGTGAGTAAAATATTTCATTAGTTACTATCAAACTCTCCCTGCCAAGTATTAGTAAAACATTCTAGTTTAGTGAGATGAAAAAAGCTTGTAGTACTGTACTTCCAATTTATTGAAACAGCAACCAAATTTTGTTATGCATCTATGCTTGAGTGTGATAGGTGTCATTGTCTCTTTAAGTATTTAATAAAGGGTCTCCATAAAACAATATATATTGCCATTTGCAACAACATTGTCTACTATGTATATAAAATATATTTACTAGTCATACACTATGTTCATAAATCTGAAGCATTACGGGTTAAGTTTAAAAAAAGTAGTAAAAATCTAAAACTGTTCCATAAAACATGATTAAAAACAATAGCAGCAATTGTTTTGCAAGAAAGTATCAATATAACTCCCTGAGAAACATTTTCCTGGGAAAGGCAGTGACTTGACTGAATTAGTTTATGGGCATCACAGAGTTGCATGCATTAATACTACAGCTGCAGTAGATAAACTGAGTTCTTCCATTCCCAGTTTCATCTTTTTATCTTGAAATCCTGACAACAAGGATAGGATTTCCCAACACTAAATTGTAGTACTGTATTGAGGTAATCAAAGCTTCACTAGTTATTAGTGTTGCAAATTCCCAACTCCCTGTCTCAGCAAGTAAGTAACACAAATCATCAAGATTTTTATTTATTTTTGTCTCTTTGAATTTGCTTTAAAAAACCCCAGATGGCCTAGGCGTATCAAGAATTGAATAGAAAATATTGAGACAAATTAGAAATATTTTTTTTTCATATTTTAAACCCAGGCCTAGGTTCATCAAGTACTGAATGTTAATGAAACATGAATATTAGAAAAGGGATGGAATATGACAGTGCATATGGAAAATGTTAGGTTTCCCTTTCACTGGGAACACTTGTTTCAATCTAGTTTAGTTTTGAGTGTTTAATATTACCTAAAGCTGAAATGTCATAGAAGGCAAACAGAGACTTTTATTCTCTCTGGTGTCATTGAAAGTGATCTGAATGCTGGATGGTTTTGAACACTACACAGTGGTTGATATAATCTAGCAATTTTTATATTTATATTTTGTTCACAAAATATCTTATTACTTGATTCTGCCTGACTTCCCATTTTCATCCACGGGAAGGATTATTTTAAATGTTATTTTCCCACTTGGTATGAATTTAAAGTAAATTGGCAATGCTTAAGGGGTTTAGACTCATACCTTCATACTACTATTGATTTAGAAGCCAACATATTTAGATACTCAACATTTGGCCAGTTTGAGATATCTTGGCCTGATTTTCAAAATATCTCCATTGCCTTTAACTTAGCACTTCCAAAAGTCAGACTTAACAAACCTTAAATTGGTCAAAAATTGGGGCATCAAGTAATGGAAGTCATCAAAATTAGAGGCTGCTTTGGAAATTTTGGGATATGTTGTATTATTTATGTCCTGAGAGGCAAATGATAACTTGGATTCCCCCTTTATAATGCATAGTAATAGAATGACAGGTCTAACACCTTCTCATGTGAACAATATCTTACAATACAAACAGCTCCCCTGAAATCACTGAGGGCATTTGTGGAGCCAGGGAGGCAAAATCATGCCTTAAGGAATTAAAAGGGGCCTGTACTTTACATTTCAGGATGCAGCAATTAAAATATTGCAACAAATAAATAACGATGTGCAATTCAAAAATGTACTGGAGGGTCTTGGCCAAAACTTGCAAATCAGTGGACTTATCCCAGATTTAGGACCTGCCCAAAGAAGTCAATGGTACCCTTTCCACTGACCTTGATGAGTATTCCGGCATTTATACTGCTATAAATGATAGCAAAATGTGGTCCACTGTGAGGTGTGGCGTTTTTTTTGTTGTTGTTTTTTTTTTTTTTGCATCATTGGATGGTGAGGCTTTGCATTTCTTTTTCTATATGGTCTGAGGACTTTTATTATAATGCATGTATTATATAATACTTATATATGTGTCTATTTCTTTAGAAAATATGACATTTTCTTTTCTATGTCAAGTAACAAAAATAAAGCACTATCAAAGGTAGTAGTAAGGTCATCAATAAAGGTCATTTTATATATTTTAGAATTTTAGCATGAATGCATGACTCTACCCCCTATTTTGACATTATGAAAAGTCAGTTTCAAGAGGAATAAAAAGATGTGCTAGTAATATCAGAGTATGTTTTCTTTGGTAGACCATGCAAAGATAACAAAAGTATCTGAGTATTTTGCAGCTTCTCTATAGTATGGTAAATGGCTGCATTTTTGTTGTCAAGCTTAAAAAAACATTTTTTGACTTGAAAACTATAATGTAGTACTGCAGCATTTAGTATCTACAAACAAATGGAAATATATTGTTGTGATGTTATTAGTAGTATTTATAACAGTTCTACCATGTATGATAAATGAACCCATATTAATTGGTTTCAGGATTCTATTCAAGCTATGGCATATCCACTAGCACTTTTGATAAGCAATTAAATATTTCAAAATGTCACTTTTGGTATAGTTCCACATGGAATGCATACTGATTACAACTACTTGATTTTATTGGACCATTTATATTTATAAACACAAATGCCTACATTTATGGGAGGTTATTAACTGTCAAAAATAACGTGCAATAAAATGATACATAAAAGTATAAGAATATACAGGCAGTCCCCAGGTTACGTACAAGATAGGGATTATAGGTTTGTTCTTAAGTTGAATTTGTACATAACTCGGAACTGGCTCCAGATTCAGCCGCTGCTGCTGAAACTGACCAGGGGCTGACTACAGGAAGCCCTAGGCAGAGTTGCTCTGCCCCCAGCTTCCTGGAATCTGCCACTGATCAGTTTCAACAGCGGCTGAATCTGGACTCTTGGGACAGAACAGCTGGGGCACTGCCGGGGAGGTCCCTGCAGGACCAACCCGGCAGCCCCCCAGCTGCTCTACCCCAGGGTCCACAACAAAAGCCTGGTCTGCTGGTGGGCGGGGGCGCACTAGCTGCGCCTCCCCCAGCAGACCAGGAACACGGGAAGCAAAGCCGAAGTGGCGGCGGGGTGCCGCGCCTCTGAGGCTTTGCTCCGGGTGTCCCTGGTCCGCTGGGGGGGGTCTCCAGCAGACCAGGGACACCCCGAGCAAAGCCGCAGAGGGACACGGAGGGACCCCCCCAGCAGACCAGGGACACCCGGAGCAGCTTTTCTCGCCCCGGAGGTTGTGGTGGCGGGACCACTGTGCGTCTGGGTGGTCCCGCCGCCCGCGATTTCTGGGGCGAGAAAAGCCCCGTTCGTAAGTGCGGATCCGACATAAGTCGGATCCGCGTAACTCGGGGACTGCCTGTAGTCTGCAAACTATTGACCTATTTAGTTATGTATGTAGATTACAAAAATCTTCTCTAAATGTGCAAGACTTCCATGCATACGAGCATTAGGGTATTTTAATCTTTTGTTAAGAACTGGGAATAAAGCTAGAGATAGTAGTAGCAATAGCTATAAAGGCAGCTTGTGCGAGAATATATGCATTTGAGGATTCAATCAGGCCGTTCACTATGTGCACTGCTATGTATCTTAGGAGGGAAGAAGACCAACAAGCATATAGTAATTGGTAATAGTATGAATTAGAGCTGGTTAAAAAATACATATTTCTAATAAAAAGATAATGAAATAGAAATGAAAAAGATAAAAACAAATCCAAAATTCTTTCAATTAAAAGTGAAAAAAAAATATTTTCAGAAACTGCCATTTTATTTCTTTTCAAAATCTGAAATTTTTTTAAGAAAATATTGTTTAAGGAATAGAATATTTTAAAAAATATTTTAACCATTTCTAAATTGAGCAGCAGTAATTTAATCTGCTTTGATTTTTGGGTTGCAATATGCTGGTACTTCGCTCTTGAGTTGATGTGAAGGGTTACCATTAGTATTTTCCCAGATATATTTTAGGCTCTTTTTTACATATTTAGAGCTGACTTGGGGAATTTAAATAATCATGAAAATGAGACAACACTGGCTAGATCAAGGGAAAGTATATGAAAAATCCCATGGAACTCTGTTAATCTTACTCTGTCCTGATCTACTCAAAAGACATTTTTACATTGATATTTCTCCTAAGCACACTACAAAATTATGCCAAATTGCCTGATTGTTAGTAGCAGTTGGTGTCAAACTGCTTGGTAGATGGAAGAGGTAGATGTGTCCACTAGAAAATATTTATGTCTAAACTCTCTTCATATGTGAGAATGTATGCAAATACAGATAGCATTTTTAAAATGCAAATGCTCATATCAATGCTATTATATTCTATTGTTTATCACTATGTTTGAACTTCGATTTCTAGAAACAAGACTATCCCTGTTCTAGGTAACAGAGATGTAGCTG